GTTCAAGCCTCCAAGTGGGAGATTGTTAAGATTTATGGAGTCTTGAACAAATTGACAAGTTCCTAAAAATTCAAGGGTCATAAATGTAACTTGACAAATATTAAACAATTCAATTGTTTAATATTGAATGGACGTACATGTCGGCAAATCAATTGTTTATTATTTGGACGCATCTTTTGCATGGTCAAACAATGGACGACAAGAAATATTAAATTATTAAATGATGGCTCCTTTTTTCTCAATTGCGGCAATTTTGTCAATATGGACAGCAAATTTGTGTGAATCAAGAAAAGTTTACGGCACATCTCCTATATATATATATATATATATATATATATATATGTGTGTGTGTGTGTGTGTGTTGTGTAGCAGAGAGTGTGTGCATCAAATATAACTTGTAGAGTTATAAATTGTAATCTTATTGAGTTAATAAGAAAATCTAGTTGCAACCCGTGGACGTAGGATTTACACCGAATCCGAACCACGTAAAATCCTTGTGTTCCTTCTTGCTTTATTTCCTTCGTGTGTTTGTGTGTGTGATAGTGTTTCCGCTGCATGTACCCGGTCCGATTCCTAACATTTTGTCGATTAAGGTAACGATTACTTTTTCCAGAATCGAATTGAATTGATTATTATGTGTTTCAGGATCGAATCACATATTTAGCCCAGTTCGACTAAAATATTTTGTTTAATATTTTTCAAGCGAAGAAACTCATATGCTAAATGCATAGATACTCCTTGATTTTTTATAATAACTAACATGATTTCATGCTAATTTGTATAAATTTTTTGAACTCATCATTACACTTATGGTGTTGAAACCAATTATTGTGTCCATGGCCACTGACATGTGCAAAATTAGTGCCATTCTTGGACCAAATACTGAACTGGATTTTCTTTTAGCTATGTTACGGAATCTGATTTGATCTTTTTGTATATTAGGATTAATTAGAAGTTGCTTATGAATCGATCTCTGGCTTAATTACCAGATAAATGCTATTATTTGCAGAATTCTTTGATAGCATTCATGGCAGGAGTTACGGTGCAATATACCAGCTTTTCTTCAACACTAATTTCCAGTGAAAGCAATGTTTGCTCAAAGTCAAAGCGATATGGTAATTATAAAAACAGTCAAGTCAAGATGATGTGTAGGTTACAGGGAGTCAACGCTTTAGACAACAAGGTCAACAAAGCCATTATCTCCACTCAAAGCCAACGATTGCAGACACTCCCTTACATTGGACAGACAGAGATTGTTATATTTTGCCAAAGACCATGTTTGATCGGTTTACAGAGAATGCTATCAAAGCTATTGAGCTTGCACAAAAGGAGACTATATGCCTTGGTCACAATCTCGTGGGAACAGAGATGATTTTATTAGGTCTTATTGGTGAGGGCACAAACATAGCAGCAAAGGCCTTTGAGTCAATGGGGATTGGATTGAACGATGCACGGGTTGAAGTAGATAATAAACTTTACATGATACTTGGGTATTCTTACCCAAAAAGAAAAAAAGCTATCGGTAAATGTAGTGGAATTGTTGAAGTAGAGATTCCTTTTACATCTAATGCAAAACGCATAATTGAGATGTCAATAGAGGAGGCCCAAAAACATGGTAATATTTGTGTTTTTGAAACATTAATAATTTAAGTTATATCGATATAACATATTTAGTACCACGACTTGATCTTTCACGTCATAGTTATATTGGGACAGAGCACTTGCTTATCAGTTTGCTTCTTCCTAATGGAGGAGGTCTAGCAATTGACGTACTTGAGGAATTAGGTGTCGACCCAAGTAACATTCTCCAGGCAAGTGTAGCTACTATATATTGTATGTTATAACTTATATATTTTTGCTCTTAGTGTTTGTTTCTCTTTTACTTAATGCATTCAACATTTCTTTTTTACTTAATTTCGTATATCCGTTTTTGAGCACCCCTAGCTAGTCTTAATGGGTCAAGTGCTAGGGTGTCATTTTTTTGCATTAAGACCATCATTACCATTTTACCAAATCCATTGGTCCTTGTTTTTTGTTCTATATTTGTATTTTTGTTCCAAATACGACAAATCAAATCGACAAAAAACTGAGTCGTTTGTTATTCAACATCCCCTTTACATAATAGAAGGGTAAAAGGGTATTCATTTACATTTTGACAATTCATTCAAACATACATCATTTAACCCTTCTTTTGAATGTAGAAAGAAAAAGAAACATTGCACTAGTTAATTTCAATTAGCTTTTCATATGCTAAGAAGAAATTTGATCCCCGAGGATATCCGTTATCCCAAATACTAAAGAAAACACGGAGGGTGTAGGTAATTACCATATAAAATCTATTATTTGCAGAGTGTTTTTGTTGCAATCATGGTGAGGGACTGTAAAAGCAAGGTCCATTCAGTTTGGAGAGGGAATATGCCAATGCCCTTGTTTGAGTGTTTTACAGAGCAGGCTAACCAAGCTGTTACACTTGCACAAGAGGTAGCAAGATCGCTGGGTCACAATTTTGTGGGTCCAGAGATGATTTTATTAGGTATTATTGGTGAGGGCACCAGCATTGCAGCAAAGGTC